CAATAGCAATAGCAATAGCAGCAGTAATAGTAACAGTGATTGGTAATAGTAATTAGTAGTAGTAGTAATAATAATAAAAATATTAACAATGATAATAATAGCAAAAGCAAATGGTAGCAATTACAGCAATTATAAAGATAATAACAATAGTAACAATAGTAACAATAATAGTAATAGGTGTAGCAATAATTAGTAGGTGTAGCAGTAAAAGTAGCGGTAATAGTAGTATTACTAGCACATTTCATTCAATTTTCAGCCCTAAATTTTTAGAAAGAAAAAAATAATTATGCTTTGATGACTTAAAGCAAACCTTAAGCATTGTTTGCGTTTAAAACCTTTTAATATTCATGAGAAACTTTTTTAACCCCATGCTGTTTTGTATCTTCCTTTAGCAAAACGCCTTAAATACAAATCCTTTGTCATGTCTTTGCAAATGATAAAAAGAAAAGTTTTGTTGTAGAAACTTTTCAACATAAAAAAAAAGAAAAAAGAAAAAGGAATTAATAATAAACTCTCTCACACACTCTCTCTCTCTCTCTCTCTCTCTCTCTCTCTCTCTCTCTCTCTCTCTTACTCTGCATATGTTAAATGTTTTATTAACAAAACACATGCATATATACGAAAAGAGAATGTGGAAAACAACGAAAACCGCCAACTTAAACAAGCTGCCGAAATGCATATCTTTCATTATGGCTTAAACAGGTTTCCCTACTCCCTAGCGGTTACGGTTTATATAGACGGCGAAGTTATGTGTGTATGCATTACTGTTTGTTTTCATAATGTTTGCAGTCATACAAGTTGGAGAAGCAACTATGTAGTATGCAAAATTTTAAAAACAAATAAAGTATTAAACATTAAATTCGGTTCCTGATAGAGAAATGAAAATTAACAAAAAAAATTTACATAAAAAAAAAATATATTCTTTAAATTAATTTTGAACATATGTTTAATTTTCGGTTTTCATAAAATTCAATAAAGATCTCCTCAATAGTATTAATATGAAAGGACTTACTTTGATAAAGTAAAACTGGTGTAAGACCCCTGACAGCTCCTATATTGCAGTTTTGGTTATAATGAAAAATTTCTATTCTTTTTATCATCAATTAAGAGAATATTCATTGCGTACAATCTACCAACAGATTATCATATTAAATTTTGGATAGAGTTCCGCTTATAGCGATTACGCTTAGAGAGATCGTGTATTACCTACGATTCTTTTATATCTCTCTAAGGGAAGGCAATTTTTTCTCGCGATGAACGAGGTGCAATATTTTACAATTTTTTCAATATTTCCAAAAATCGGAAGCTTGTAAGAATAAGTGAGACACCCTCTTCAGATCGAACTTAAACGCTAACCGAGCGAACAGTGCAGGAATGCTTTTCTCATAGTCAGACAGTTCAGAAATTCGATTCGAATTTAATAATAGTCGTGCGTTTGGCAAACGACTATAATCGAATGCTAATGGGAAAGAAAAGTGAAATCGCAGAAGAACTCAAATGATCGAGTTCGCGGCAATTTACAAGCGTTTCATAACTGTCCCGTATAATGTACTGGAGACTATTCGAGCAGTTGTATTTTTTCGCAATTTTCAACCTGACGATCTTGTATTTGTATTTAATTTTGGCTTTAAAAATAACTGAAGTAAAGTGGAAAACGTTTGTGCCAAGTTTCCCCCTTCGCATCCATACTTGGAAATAACAATTCGTAGAAGATAATGAGAGATGACAGACTCACAGGCAAACAAACTGACTTTGAACTTTTACACTTTTCCGAATATATTTTGTTACACATAGCACATACATAAGTACTTTGATTAAAAATTTAATTATCAATTTTTCCAAAAAGCGTTAAATTACTCTTTGTTGCTTATGCGCTCTCCTTCAAAGTAATCGCCTTTTGACATTATACTATATGTACTAGTTCAACAAACAGAACAAGTCACTTTACATTATCTTGAGGTAGATCTGCCATCTTGCGTTCACCTTACCCCATCTCCCATCATTTACATGTCATTGAAGCGCGTTATAGGTGGATTTAATTTTCATATAAAATGACTTTAGATATTGGTTGAGTTTATTACTATTAAAAGACCGCCTTCCCATATCTGATCACTATGTGATGTTTTGTTCATCGATACATATATAACATTCCCAAGTTTTAGCTTTATTCATGCCCAAAACAAATTAAGACTTTATACGAGAGCAAGCCTTCTACAATCCCACGTAAAGAAGTTAATAAAAACTGAGAGTTTTGAATGTATAAAAATGATTTATTGAGAAAGCCATTGACGGAACGGGTCCAAAAGGGTTGGATTAAAGTAAACATATTGCTTTTATACATCAAACTGCTATTCCGAAATGATTCTTATCGTAATATAATGAAAATTATACTTTGTTCCCTATCCAGTTCAAATTTTGCACTTCGTGGTATTGAATAGTTCGGCTAGGCTGACTACAATGTTCTTACCGGGTGTTATCAAGAGGAACTAAAAATAGAAAATTTTCTCCACAAAATGACTTTTTCAAGGTGAAGCGATACATAGGCAATGGATGCAAAAACGTTGAAGTCCAATTTGCTTTAAATACTATTCGTACCGAGTGTACCGAGCTTTATAAAGACGCGATGAAGACTCGGGCCTGTACACCCACCAGCTAAAAAGGCAGACAGACAGACAGACAGACAGATTGATATAAGGCACTATCTATTGTCCTTTAGAGAGTGTGGTAAACGGTATTTCTCTCATCAATCCTTTATCGAAGAGAAACTAGATCATTAACACAATGATATGTCGGCAATTCTAGCCGAGTTGAGCTCTACTCTAAAAGCTCTGCCTTTCAATGGGCATATCGCGGTTTGCTTTGTTTTCTTGCCCACTGCCATTACGAAAGCGCCCCGAAGTTCACTACCCATGGCAGTTAAGAGAGTTTCTGATAATACAATGGTCAGAGATTTTTCAATCTTTAACAAAGAGATCGTCATGACCTACGTTATGCTGGGCGAGTTTCCAATTTGCCGAACTATCCGCCTGTTGTAGCGAAAACATTTCAAGTCCTTTCACGCAGTCTGGTATTGACAAAGGACATACCCGCAATATAAAGTAAACTGAGAACACGGCATATGTAGCGATAAGAGTTTTCAGTTATACCCTCCGCCATATGTACAAAAATGGAAAAAAAAAAACGCTTACACAATTTTTTTGTTATTTCGCGTTTCTCTTAAGCAAATACCAATGCATATTAAAAAAAAGTTGGCCAGACTCGAATCCAATTAGACAGAAAAGATCATCGTATTTCTCAACAATAAATTGTTTGCCTTCACGACTACATTTTAAGGTTAGCAAATTTTTACTGTTGCTTTTTATATATAATTTGACTCGAATCTCATTCTACGCATATGTCACTTTATTGCAATTGTTATTTTAAAATGTTATTTTTCGCAATTGCTACAATTGTGGTATAGATGTTTCCCATATAATCGCACTTTTGAATAAAAACATATTCCATTCAAAGTTGGTATAATTAACAATGCAATCATGATTTATTACTTTAAACTTTTGCTTTATAAAATTCTCAGCAAATTAGATAAACTATGTCTATGTATAAAAAGTTTCTCCTTATTTAACAGAAAAATATGTTTTCTTCTAACATGGGTAATGAAAAGGTACCATCTCGTTGAGGAGAACCTCTCTGTTAGAGTTTCACTTTCTTTAATTATATTTGTTGTTTTCATTTTTTGTTTTTTTTCACAAATTCAATTAAGTTGTCTCGACTTAGATTTGAAGCGGCAACATCTAAACTGATGGACATTTGCATCGCATTTCTCGCTTATAAAGTTTCGTAACTGAACATAAGATCTGCGTTCCAAGATACATTAGACAAAGTCGATAAAGTCTAGAGGATGTCGGACAAATAGGCGATAATGAATTTTCGTTTACTAAAGTGCAACTTAAATATTCGTTTCAAAGTGCTGCGTTCTTCTTCTTAACTCAAATTTGAAGACGTTTTTGAAGTTGTTATGGCCTTAATGGAAAAGCTTTTGAGATCATTTTTTCGTTTTTTATTTTTATTTAAATTTCCTTTTCCTCGAGAATCGGAACCAAAAACTTTCTACACTAATTTGCTTCGATTAAAATTAAAAATTACTTTATATTCTGGTACGATGGACACATATTCTGTTCGCCAAAATGAACAAATATTTCTTTTAAAATATGTAGAACTGCGAGCGAATTTTAAACTGGAATCACTTTTTATATATGAAATTAATTCAAGTGAAAACCTTATACTAAAAACATTATAATGCGATAAGGCAATTCATTAAATACCCTACACTAGCTCGCTTAAAATAATTCTTTTTTTACTTTCGTGATAAAACTGAAAGCATATTCTTCATGGAGGCCCCAGTGGAAAGTACAGGGCCCCAAAAATGGTTTTGCCAATTTTTGGCAAAATTAACTTTCTTCTCGAAGTCCTTATTAACATTTAGTCAGGTTTGCTATAAATGGTAAATATAGCACATCACCGCCATTGTTTTCTCTTTTTCATGTGTACCTATGCATAGGGTAGAGCCTGATATATAGGTCTAGATGGTTTAAATTTGGGAAAGTTCATTTTTGTCTGAAATATCTATTATGAAAGAATTTTCGCTAAAAAATAATAAAAACTGAACGCTACCGCCATATAAGTGTTTGCTTTTCATAGCAACGATTATATAGCAAAGAATTCAACGTAACGGCTCATCTGATCCATATTTTTTATATCAACTTGATATAACGAAACACTATTTATTAGAAGGCGATTTTTTTGTCGAGCAATTTTTGAAAATAAATCGTTATTGGGGGATTGTCGCAAAAGTCCTCTGATTCAAGCCAAAGATTCCATTAAAATAATGCGATAAATAAATACAGGAGTGGTCTCACTGTAACACGGCTTTGATACACAATATGAGTATGTGTTCTTTCCGATTGATTTTTGCTCTCATTTTTATTTTATTATTAATGAACGGAGTTTCGGACAGAGGGAGAGACACTCGTCACACAAATCAATTCAGAAAATGACACTGAATTTATCGCTATAATAACGGGGTGAGTCCAATTAAAGCTCTTTTAAGCATTGCATGCATCCGTATAAACTTGATATACCCGGCACTAAAGTTGCTTTTAGAAAAAATAAAGTCCGTTCAATTACGGTATTTAGATTAATTCCAAATAAATACAGGAGTTTAAGGGAGACGTAAAGGGAGCCATCGTTTTCAGGCCGTGTTGTACGTGGCGAAAAGTTTACCAACGCTATTGCAAATGTATGCACAAAAGAATGAAATAAAATGCATATACGTTTAATAGTCCCGTTAACTAACTTAGAAAAGCTTGTAGATAGATATTTTGCTTTTTACTTTTTTGTTCAAATTACATTGGTTTGGGTGGCAGTCAACCTTAAACAACATTACAGTAATGGCAGGTAATTCGTTATAAAACAATACCTTACTGTTCCAAGTATTCTAAAATTCATTATTGGCTTTTTTTTTTTTTTTATTATTTGAGATAAACAGATTTCGAAATAAAACTTTTCCATAAATAGCTCACATTGAAGCCTTTGAGAATTTTATTATGCACTATAGATCTCCCAAATTGCATCAACAAATTCACTAATGCGATAAAAAACGCAAGCATTTGCAAAGCGGAAAAATTCGATATAGACAATTATATTTTTTGGTATTATTCAAGTCGAGTTTTTTCATTGTCTTGTTTTTTTTTTTTTTTTTTCTTGTATGCGAAAATCATCAAACTTGAAAGCCAATATATATATGAAAATAATCCTTTTTACGATTGATTTTTCAAGTGAAAAGTGTCCTTCTTCCCTGTTGCTCTCTCCCCGCAAAACGTAAGTGAATACATAAATGTATGTGCGTGTGTGCATATTTATAATGCAACCTTTAATGTATAAAGCAAATAATGTGCCATAAGCGCGTAATAAATTATGCTTTCATATGAGAAAACACGTAACATGCGAACCTTTTTTCCGGTACTCGCGTCTGATTTATTTATTGATTTCTTTAAGCGGATATAACAAAAAGTGTAACAATTTCGCCTATGAAAATCATATAAATGTTAACATTTATAGTAGCAGCATGTAGCGTTCTGGAATGCGCGGAATGCAATATTTAACAAGTAAGAAAATTAAATTGATTCGGGACCCAAACTTTTACCCCAGAAAAAGACAAAAGAAGTAAAAGAACACAATTTTCACACTCTATAATATGGAGTGGGCGTTGCTGATGTTTTTCTATTTTCAAAAATAAAACTTTTTGTCGTGCACACATGTGGGCGTTTTAGGCGTGTTCTTTGTCAGGTTAAATCAATTCCAAATTCTTTTGCAAATTCGTTAGCGATATCTACATTTTTGCGAATGGCATCACAAATACTGCAAAGTTAGGCAAACAGACAGATGGACAGACGAATTGACGGATATGTTTTGGGTCATTCTGGCATTTTTAAAACTTGTTTCTATGCGTTATTTGAACGAGACTTGCATATAAGTAATATATTACATTTATATATGCAATGTGATGAGAGTTTCCAGTTTGGCAGTGAGCGACTTTTTATGTCACCCATCTTACAATGATCGTGGACGTACCAATTGCCAAGTATTTCCACAAAAAAAAAAAAACAAACATTCCACTGCGTAGTGCTTACGGATATATCTTAAGTTTTCAAATTTGGACAAACAATTTTAGCCATAAGCTGAAACTGCACTCTATAAAGGATTTTACTAACTAATAAACAAAAAGAAAAGAAAAATACTTCACTCTTTAGAGAGCTTTAGAGAGAGTTAAGGCAATTAGCAAAGGTCTTTCGTGGTTAAAAGCGAATTTAACTTTATGACCCTTAAGAAATTTATGAAACTTTTTTCATTCATTATTTTAATGAAATAATCTTTCGAACGGATCTTCTTTCGCTAGCATAGCATAATTCTTATATGTCGTTTCATGTGATTTATGGCGAGGTGTACGTGCCTTGTAGAACTTCTACATCTACATATAGGCAAGTAACAAGTGAATTAGTGATGCGAATGGTGCAAATTTTTGAAAGTCGAACGATAAGAGTCCCCCCCCCCCCCTTTCTTTTTCCCGATTCTCCATCGCACTCTATCGATGGTTGAAATGAAACAATGAAAACAAATTTTTAAAAACACATAAAAGTAAAAACATCTGTAAAATAATTAAAATTCCTTTTTTTTAATTGATAAAATTTACGATAAAAAATTTCTTTTCTTACCTATCTACGATTGTATAAAAAGCAAATCGATCGAACATTTAAAAAGCAATCTTAGCTAAAGTTTTACTGCATTATTTATTCGGAATTAAAATTAATTTTTCGTTGAGAGAACATTTTACTTGATTTCAATTAAAAATGATCATAAAAATTGTACAAGTCGCTCTAGTTGTAACGATGTGTCGTTTAATTCACACTTGCTATGATCAGCATAACGTGTTGGCATATGATGGTAAAATAAAAAAATAATAATAAAAAATAAATAAATAAACGATTTTTATATTTCTTTAAAAATAGCTTTCTCTCAGGTCCTATCGATTGGTTGCCAGCGTTTGCAACACGCAAGTAAGTGATTCATCTCCGTTTAATTGCAAAAAATTATATCATTAACAATTAGGAACGATTCGACAAGCCCGATGCATACATAACTGGAGCTCCGTTAGCCTGAGCTGCTTATTCTCTTGTGATAATCGTGATTACATACAGTAAGTTTGTCCTTTTACATACCTACATATGAAAATATATTAACACTATGTGGCACAGTTGTGGCTAAGCCTGAACTTTGCACTTCTCCTCGCCATTCCTATCGCAATCGACAAACGACTTGACATCTTATTTTTAACATAGAGGGTCTGGCGCGTATGGAATAATTTTTTTGGGTGATAGAATGAATATATATATATATATATATATTATTCCTCAAGTGATGAAAGTCTGCTTTTCCATAAATTTGCATAATTTCGTTTAATTATATAAGAAATTCGTCTGCATCCTTGTCGTAAACTAATTTTCAACTTTTTTATGACGAGAGATATAAGACGGGGAACTATCTATCTCAGTTCAATATTGTTTTGTATTTCGAATTTCAACAGCTCGCTTAACTGATCAATAATTCACTTGATATAGTCTCCGCTGAACATTTGTCCGCCACAACAAACATATAGCGGAACCAAAGGTCGCTAAGACATATGTCTTAAGTTTTATAAAATTTTATTTATTTGAAAAATGTTCGATGAAACTTATCATCCTTTTTAAAGATTTAGTGATTGCACTTATGTTTCAATATATGACGCTAACTTACTGCCTTATTGTCTGGATCTACGTTGCCGAAAAGGTATGAAATGAATGGAAAAAAATATCAAGTCCTTAGAATGTAACTTGTCCCTTTAAAATGTTAATTCTTGTTACGGAAATTTTTTTATTACCGAAACTATGACTACAGCGATAACGAAGACAAGATGTAGAGGATTCGATGCATCAACTTTAAACCCGGTTAATTTGGAGGATAAGAGTGAGAGAACAATGACCAAGATTGATGAGAATAATCACGAGACAGATGAAACCTATGAAACCTAATCCATCGCAACGATATTCGAATTTCATTTTGATATCCTTTATTCAAATGCTTTGTATATTGTATTTAAGATTAAATAAAATATATATTACAATGTAAAATAAATTTAAAAAAAAAAAAAAAAAAAAACAAACGTATCGACTTTTGCGTGGAAAGGAGAGACCCTTTGCAGACTGTAATTGCTTTTTACATGTCAAAGACGCGTATAGTGTCGTATGTTATGTGAAAGCTGAAGTTTGTATCGACCTGTCGATAAGGATAAGGATTCATGGAGGCCGACGATATTTGAAAAGTTGAATTCACGAATCGCGAGTCGTAGTGCGAGGAGGAGAAGGAAACGGCGTAAGGTTATGTTGTAATGCATTAATTAAAAACTAAAACTTGTACAAACGTTTTAAGATAACACTTAACAAAGTCTCAAAAACGTAATAGGGTCATTGTTTCGCAAGTTGTGCGGCAGATCCTTCTGTCCTGCTAAAAATAATCTTGCCAATGCCAATGATAGTTTGACACCGCTTGCTGAACGACCTTGTATTTGCAGATAAAATATGAGAGAAAAAAAGAGAAAGTGCAGTTTTGTTTCAATTTAGTTCTTTTTTTTTTTTGGTTTTATTTTCCAAAAGTCAGAGATCTGCGAGAACCAAGTGTCGAGAATATGTAGAAAATAGCAGGCATCTCTGATTCACGTCGGCTAAGAAAGTGAGGAAAGTCAAGAGGTATATAGTGTCATAATATCATTAATTTCTTGCACACACACACACACATACAACTACATAAACATTCTTATGTGCCTCGACTGTGAACGCTTAGCATTGATCATTTTTTTTTTATTTAAAAACCTATTATATCGAGACAAAGCTAAGACATTACGGATCCTATCCGCTCAAGCTATCTACCTATGTTTGTGATTATCTTTTTCGCCTTTGCTATTTATTTACTTTTCATTCATTATTCGCATTTTATAACTTTATGCAAATAACTGTCAGAAACTAATCGGAAAAACAACAAAGCATGAAAAAAGACTAATGATGATATCCTTTAGGCATAAACATCAAAAATCAATTTGAAACAGTGGTAGGCAATAAAAACTTCCCATGAACGCTCACTGCATATATATGTACATTGGCATTAATTTACACTCAATCATATTTTTTTACCCATTTGATGCGAGTGCATTTACTTGTTAGTTAAACTGAAAATAAAAAAAAAAAATAAAAAAAAATTAAATCATTTTTCTACTTTCAATTATGTTTTAGTTCGTTCGTTTTTGTTTTTATTCTTTCATAAGTTTTATAGGAAGAAAAAATTTATTTTGTAAATTATTTTTTTCTTTCTGATAGCTTAAGGGTGCAATACTATGCCCTCTTCTAATCAAGTATAGGATTCTATTTTTTATATGTGTATGCAAATTTTGCAATTAAAGCTAAATGTTTTCCTGGCCTGATTCTATAAAATCAATGAAATCACTTTATTTTATGGCTTGAGCTGAACGAAGAACATATAAATACGAAAGGTTAACAACGAATTTAAATATCCCTTACTTATGATGGCAAATAGTTGGAAATCATTTATATGAATCGCACATATCTAATAATTTGCTTTACCTCTTGTAAGGCTATTAATAGATGAACGGAAGGATGACTGAGTCAAGAAGTGAATAGATAATGTACATGCGAATCGACTATAGAAGACCGATAGATGTACGTACGGCCTAGCGGACAACGGAATGACGAGTGAGGTGAATAGGCAAAGGGTTAGATTGACAACCGGACGGGACAAATGGTCAAGTACATTGATAAACATATATGATTAGAAAAATTTGACGAATCGAAAGAGAGAGAGAGAGAGAGAGAGAAATGCCTACACATGGATATAGGGGAGGGAAAAAGAGAGATAGACAGTTAAACGAATCGACAAGGAGATCAACGAGATCAATGTTAAACTGACTCAGCCTCTCAATCTGATGAGGAACTCATATTCACTCGTGTTCACATGCAATAAAAAAAAAATAAATAAATAAATAAAAAAGCGTAAGGAATCTACCATGCCTTTAAGAAAAAGGACAGAGCGCCAGTTGGCCGATCAGCACAATATTCTTATTGAACAGATTGAAAATTATTAAAAATTACCGACTACTCTAACGATGTTTGCGCAAGGACAGATTATTCCGACTTTCAAAACATAACCTAAAAATGTAAGTATTCTTCTTATTCAACTACAACAGTAGCGACAGGAGGCGTCTTTTCACTTTTCATCAAGAATTTATAGAATAGCCTTTATCAATGATATTTGTGCTTTTGGCAACCGAAATAACAAGTCGAGTATAACTTATATACTCAAAGGGTGGGAATAAAAAGCGAAAATATATATTCATTGCCTGGTAAACTTTAGCCATTTTCTACTTAATAAAATGAAAACCTATATATGGAAAGATGGATGAAATGAAAGATTTGTATGCATTGTACACATATACATATGCCATATGGAAAACCTCTGGGCTAATTAACTCTCCTTTCCTCTGGTAACTTTTTATTGTTCTTTCAAATGAAAAATTTAATATCATCTAATTGTGGTTTCTATGTCGAGGCTAGGGTTACTTGTATGTATTTATGTGTGCATAAAACTTTATAATTTCTACAAATTTTATCTGGAGTCTCCCAACAACATATTTGAAAAACATTTTAGCTAAACTTTTAAGAGCATATATAAAATATTAGGTAAATGCAAAAATGTTGCTCAATGATTTGATGAAGAAATGGAAAATATTAGGATACTGAACACTTGCGTTCAAATCATTTTGATTTTTCTCTACCTAAAACAACAGTTTTTCATTTAATTGTTTGACAGCGTACGCCCGCGCTCATCGTGGAGCGCACGAAATTCTTCTTCTTTCAAATTCATTATTTTTGTAGTATATTTGCAGAAATTGGCAGCCGAAGCCCACCGAACAGATTCACCAACTTGTGGCGATGCTACTCCATCATATCCCAATCGTCTGTTTTCGTTTCGGTTTCGGTTTCGGTTTCGGCGGTTTAAAAGTGGTGACATGAATTGACTGAAAATGCCATTTTTCAGTCACTGGTTGCAAGAGTTGTCAAGGATACATCTCGAATGCAGCTCGAACGGGAAGTTCTGTTGTTCAAATCGATGCAGCATGGCTTGACTAGAACGCGATTCCGGAAGGCAGAAAAGGCGCGGGCAGATCTTTGCCAAACCAATATAAGTTCTTTCGACACGACATCGCCATGTTGCCAGAAATATGATAAAATGCTGCGGAAAATGGTGGAAAATATTTCGATTAATATAAATTGTAGCAATTTTTCTCTTTAAATGCCTTTTTCGGCTGAAAAAATGATCAAAATTTTTGCAAGCACCCAAGATATATATATATATATAAATGCACATACATAGTAAATATGTATACATATATATATGTATACATATGTGTATGCATGTATGCTTACACACATATATAATTTGTTATTCAATTAACTCCACAGACAATTAAAAGGCATTAAGAAAAAAGCGTAAAAAAAAACTTATGAAATAATTTATTACAGAGTTTAAGCACCGGTCGCAGACGCATTCTAATAAATTCAAAAAAAAAAAAAAAAGAAAAAAGGTTTTATCCATCCTTCAACTCATACTCTTTTGTCTAATTTTTTTTTTTTTTTTCCTTCCAGTTAAATAAAGAACAATAAGTTAAAGTTCTAATGCTTTGTTGTTGCGTATATATAAATATATATAAATATATTGTTTTATGGGTGCATGTGCACTCTTAGCAGCAATAGATCTCCGTATATTTTTTTTTTATCTTTCGTATTATCGTTTAGTGTTCAGCGCTTATAACGCACAATTATCAATAATAACTGCAAATTATCATTACAAATGCCTATATATACATCTGCCTAACTATTTGCCATGGGAACACTTACGCATTTTCACAATTTCCATATCGTTCTCACTTTATTCATTCTGTTCATTAAAAATTCAATGTTTCTTCTATATATAGCAGCAAGTATCAGTGTATGCACTGTAGTTCGATTCTTGGCACAAGCAACACATATAAAACGCAATAGATTCGCGACGTAACCATATTAACGTATCTAAAGCAGAAATCAGAAAAGCCGATAGGTCTTTCAATTCACGAGCCACTTACTATTTTTATTTTGTTATTTTTTTACTTTTGGTCGCTTAGCTTTTGTACCCGCACGATTCCTAAAGGAGCTTGAATTCTTTTAACCTTCAATACGTATGGTAGTTTTCGATTATGCCGATGCATGCAACACCCAGAAGGGCTTAAGATAGACATGTCTTCGATTGAACCATGTGCTGAATCGATTTAAAAGACAACTGCCCATCTGTCCGTGAGTCCGTGTGTTATCCGTTTATGTTTTTTTTGCCTTTGAACCTAAACGTTACATATTTTTTAAAATATTTTGACGAAATTTAATACGTTAATGTAATTCATGTTGCAATTTCAACATCACTGACGCTAGTTAGTATTTTGCTAAATTAAACTGATGTAAAAAATTTGGGTTGAACGGGCCGATTTTTCGAACCCCCCCCCTTTCATAACCGTTCCCAGATAGAAAAATTTCCTTAACATCGAGAAATGATCTAATTTTTAATATTTCACAATGAGAATTAGTCCGTCATTGTAGTTTTACATAGAAATCAATCAATCAATCAATCAATCAATCAATCAAGCCAAGTTGCGATCTCCCTGCCGCTTACAAACGCTCTAATGAAGTGTAAGCTTACATATGACAAAAAGGTCAATTTTTTATTGTTTTACGATAAAAAAAAATATTCATAATAGTAATTTGGCGAAGAGAACCATCACCGAACGATGAGGAGTATATTTATTTTGTCAAAACGTTTGCAATGCACAGAAAGAAGCTTCAATGATCCGGCAAAGTATATATATATATATATATATATATATATTCTTGATCAGCATTAAATTTTGAATCGATTTCCATTTCCATTTCCATGTCCATTTGTCCATTTATCCATCTATGTACCATTTACCATCATCGAGGCCCGTATGAATTCAGCAGACAATTGAAAAGCTGTCATGTTCGACGAAGAAAAGTTGACATATCACCAATCTAAGCTTGAACAGTATTTTTTCTCATTAAAGGTCATGCATATAATCAATAGACGAACTTTGGCCTTTTTCGTAATCGACATAAAATTTTGGCGAAACGATATCTATTTATTTATCGTGCATTCATTACCCATATACGATAGGTTTGACTCGGATCATATGATTTAATTTTATAATCAAGTTCCAGTCAATATACGTAGTCTAATGTTTAAGATTCCAGCAATACCTTAATAAGTTAATGTTTGCTTCTTCCCATCAAAAGCAGACATTTTTCATGTCTGGGTGTAGATAACTTTTACAAAAATAACAAAATTCTAAACCTGAATACAGTTTTGCGGAGAACTCATTTAACTTAGCACCGCTTGAAAAATGTTTCATCATTTCTGCACTTCTCTTTCATTCCAACTTATTTCACGTCGCAAGTGACATTTTTCTTGACTATTGCCAGCAAAAAAAGAGCGTATCAGCAGTAACAATGGCCAAAAAATGGCAAATAAGCATAAGTTTTAGCGTTAAGAAGAGTATTTTTTTAACAACACATAGTTTTGTATTATCATGAACTAAGCATCCTTAAAAAATGGGATGATGTATATGCCATGATTCACCCATATAAGGAAGTATAAGGATTATGAAATGGTCAAAAAAGAATTATAAAAACCCCGTCCTGCACTATCAGTATTACTTTTCTACTTCGTAAAAAAAAAAAAAGGAAAAATAAAAGCCACTTAACACAGGTTGACCACATTGTTAATGTAATCTTAGCAAACCTTTGTCCCGTCATATACACCAATGCATATTCATAGCACATTCTAAACTTTATCGATATGCTTATATGTGCTTACTTCGTCTAATGTTATGCAAGAATCATAAACAAGCATGAGTTGAAAAAGTCAAGTGTTTGAAGAAGAAAAAAGAAAAAGAAAGAAAAAACCAAACGAAAGAGAACGAGAGTCTGCTTGTAGCGAATTTTCAATACCCATCATCCGAAGTAAACGTATGGGAATAGAAAAGTTTTTTGTTAATTGTAAACGCCCCGATCGGCAATGTGTTCAACGGATAACACTTATGCCATAAAAAAAAAAAAAACTGAAATTTTCATCTATTGATATGTTCATCAAGAAAGAGTGACGTATACGCAATTTAAGATCGAAACGAGAAATTTAAATTTTCGCAACACTTTACGTAGCAGGCACGTTCATGGGCGAAGAGAAAACAATTCGTTTCAAAATCACAAAAAGTCGATAGGTCGTGTATGGGTATGAACGGTAAAGCCCGAAGCATTGGGTGCCGCGTCGAATATAATTGCTAAAATTTCTTTGCCAAGACTTGGATTTCCAAAACTTCCCTTGGTTTAATAAGAAATAAACCCAACATAGTCGTCGTTGGAGACGTAAGCGATTTATGTCTACACTCGTAGCGACCATGTCGATTTGTTTGCATGCTCAGCCGGTATAGGTATAACACTTAGCAATTGAGCATACACCCCCCATACACTAGGCGGCGGCCATTCCTTTCCTTTCTTTCTCTTTCCTAACTTCGCTGTGTTCATATGTACAAGGGACATCCCCTGAGTGATTGCTCAAATTGAGAGCAAAAAAAAAAAAAGAATACATGAAAAAGTTTTCCAGCTATTGTCGTTGTATCATTTTTTTTTTTTTTTTTTTTTTTGGATCAAGCCTGCCCGCTTAGCCGTCGAAATTGACTCAAGTAGTCAAGACTATCTAGCGTGATTTTCAATTTCATATTTTTCTTTCCTTTAAGGGAAACGATTAAATTATTTTAAAGTCTAATGTTAATCAGGACTGTATGAGGTGATTAGTGACTTCTGGTATATGTTTGTTAAATGCTTGAAACTGAATATCGGTGCGAACACAACCTCTTTTCTTTTTTCTTTGAGGTGGATATAAAAATTAATTTCGATTTTTCTTTTTTGCACACTAAAGGTGTCAACAATATATTTAATACTATTGTTATCGAAAGCAGTGGCAAGTACAATGGCGATGATACAAGCGGACAAATTATTATAAATATTTAAGTTAAAAAAGCGGTATTTATCGTACAGTGGCATGGATCGAAGAAAAGTCTTTTAAAAAGAAATTCGCAAAGAAAGTTATATTCTCGCCTAGATCATCATAGCGTCACACAATTTTTATGTACAATAATATCATTGTTCTCTCCTTTTTTTTTTTTTTTTTTTTTCTTTGCAAAGAATTGTTAGGTTCTCAAGTGTGTTATTATTTTTCGTAAGATAAGTTGTTATTTTGGCTTTTAGCAATTGTCAAAACGTACCGTCTTCACATGGAAGTATTATCTTTAAGGTTTACGCAACAGTAGAACTTGTTCCGCTAAACTGCCCACAACGTAGTTTATGGCAATGTGACTTGCTCTGTTTAACTCCAAGGATAGCGCTGCTGATTCATGACTAGATGATGAATGATGGATGCCGTAAAATATGCAAAGTGTAGCTACGATTAACGATAAAGCTGATTATCGATTACGATGCTCCCTTTTATTATCAGCTATGTATAATGCACGAGACCATGCAGTCAAAACAATCATTTGTAGTGAACACTATCGACAAGAACTGATGCAACTGGCTCGATAAACTGGCACAATAAGCTCAAAATCACGGCACCGTGAATTCAATATTAGTAGCATTGAATTACATTGCCCTACTCTTCCCGCTGCAATCGCCAGACAGACAGACAGACAGAAAAGCGTGGAGAAATGACCTTTCAATGCGGTATTCGAAAGATAGGAAATATGTGAGTGTTATGAGCGGACAGTACGTTCAACAAAATTATTTTTTTATTACTTTTTTATTTTCAAATCCTAGCTTTTGCAAGTCGCACAATCGAATAATCGGGTTAATGCTCGATTATGGTCGACTATATTCAATATCATTGTTTATCTACTCAATTGAATCAACAACGGATGCTTTAGTCTTAGCTTCCAACTTTAATTTTCAAAACTTTTTAAAATCCCAAAAGACTCGCCACAGCGTAACAGAACAGAGTATGGGAATTTTGAAAAAGTGACACTTCTTTGATAGCGGAACTGTACCTAAACGTAAAACCGAAAATTTATTTCAGTCGTATTCCGGCATTGGCAGACAATAAGTGCATTTAATTTGACTATGGAATATCTTACACATAGCTGACGCAAGAATTCAAACATTTCTACAGTTATTATAGGGCGAAGAAATAATTTTTATGAAATATTTTGTCCTCTTTCAGAACACTGTCCGTTTTCTTTACACAGTCAACACCGTTTATACGGCATATAATCGTATTAGAGGCAAATGGCTCTGAACAATTGCTATCAATTGATGACAATTTAGATTTGCACACAAAATACTTGAAAAGAAGAAAAAAAATAACGCTTCATACGTACACAGACTTGAGAATATTTATATGGATTTTTTACGTTTTTGGGCGAGATGGGTGATAAAAGCGAAAAAAAAAAAAAAAGAAAATCCCCAAACACAATTCTATGGAGAATTTCGTTCTTAAAAGAAGAGGAAATGAAATCACAGAATAAGAAGAAGAAAAGAAGAAAAGAAGAAAAAAAAAAAAAAAAAAACTAATATAATTGTAAAAAGTTTTTCTCTTTTTGCAAAACACAATTCTTGTGTCATTTCTAACGCGTAACTTAGCGCGGCCGAGTAAACGGATGAACAGCAAAACAACAACGTAAAGAAAGTTGATGAATTTTTTTGTTTTTCTTTTTTAATAAATTCTTTTTTTTTTTGTTTTTTTTGTTTTTATTTTTATATCTTTTTGTCATAAGATTGCTATGTACTACTCTGTATATGTTATTTGTGATTTTTTCATTTTACATATTAATGAGTGTGGTTTCGGGTTGTGAGCAGCCCCAGCAGCAGAGGAGCACCAGCGTATAATATCAACGAAACAAAAAAAAAAAAAATGGGAAAAATCTATTGTTTCAGTATAAATGTCACAGTGATTTTAATTATTTTATGCGGTTTTTATACACAATACACAGATGGGGGTACGTATGAGTGATGTGTGATATGTGCAAAAAAGAAACAAATTATACACAGAGAGAGCGAGTGCATTAAATAAAGGGATAAAGAACAGCAACACATGTTTTTTTTTATTACAATAAATTTTTTTTTTTTTTTTTTTTTTTTTTTTTTTTTTATCACTATATATGTTTTATTATCGAATCGTTACCGTTTCTCTCATCAAGTATGATCAGTTGTACTGCTCTGATTGTTTGTTGTTTTGTTTTGTTTTTTTTTCGTTTTTTTGTTTTTTGTTTTTTTTTTTCTTTCATTTACTACTCTACAATATCGTTACATGTCTATTCAGGTTGGAGTTCGCAGTGTTGGAAGAAACACAATTCCGGCTCTATACAAACGCCTGACGGTGAATTTAAGCGCCCTTTCGGCATACTCTGCACATATCAATGCTTTTTATGGTATCCGCCTGTGTAAGTGTGGCTTTTTAGTTAAAAAAAATATTAAAAAAAATTTCACAAAATGCATAAACAATTCTTTCAACTAACAATTACTTTGTTTTTTTTTTTCTTTTTGTAACTCTAACTAGCTAAATAGCTTTCGTGTCTTTCATTACGAAAGCAGTCTAAGTCACAGAATATAAAGAAAAAATTTTTCAATTATTTTTCTTTGCTGTAAATTGTGTTACAAATTGTATATATATATATCTATATATTTAAACTCTGGCTGAAATGAACGTTATATTAATTCGCCTAAACGGATCGGTTAGATTTTGAACTCGTACGAAAATGTAGTAAGGAAGAGCAGAATAGTGTTTTAATAATTTTTAATTGATATTAATCGCGAAACTTCTAAACCTCCTTCTCATATACAGTCAATATTTCGAAAAGCATTTATCTTCTTGACAAGCATAAATTACTGAAACGATATCATTTAATGGATATATCGTTTCGGTTTGCGGTTTATCTTTGACAAATCTCCGTGCAATAGCAACAGAGAAATATTTGAAGACTTACATAGCATACTCCCTATCGATACCAAATCAAATCTACATCCCAATAATCTGATCCGTCATGTCGAGAGGTTAAATTTTTTTATACTTTTATCAAAACTAACTGATGCTACTGATCGTTCAACATATATTGCTTCAATATTAATATGTATATATATATAAATTTGTATTTATTTTTTTTTTTTCTCACGAAGAAACTGCAACTGACATTGTTGTATGTAAAGCGTCAGAGCTTTGTCATTCCGTCTGTACCACGAACATTAAATATTACTTCCCGTGTCATGTAAAAAATCAATCCAGAGTACATGTGCGTAGATTAAGCTTTCTATCAAGCAAATAATTACATAAGTGCAATATTAATATTCTTACTTGATCGAAATAACTGAACGGTTAATAAAGAACGAATATGGACAGACAAACTCTGCTAAGAAATATCTCAAAACGAATGATAGTTTGTGATACGGGTGTATATTCTGTCTGAAAAGAAATCATGTAATGATAAATATTTTTATTTTGCCCACAATTGACGATTAAGTCATACGAAACGTACTTTTCCCTTTGTAACGGAGCCGACTGATAACACGGTCTAACATAGTTCATATCCATAAGATTGCATTGGAGTACATGCGCCTTCCATAAAACCTATAGCGATTCAGATTAAGCGATAGTTTTTAATTTTATTTTAATAATAAAATTTTTGACTGCGTAGAGGCTAAAGTACGTGCTTATATAAGAGACGGTATATCTATCTACCTGAAAGTAAATGTAACAAAACTTGGTGTATTCGCATTTTACTAATCAAAACATTTCCTAAAGCATGTTTGATCATTTTTCACATGCACCATCAAAGGATCGCGGTATATTTACTTAGTCAATGCGTTTGCAATACGTTTGCAGAGAAAAGATTTAAAGATGAAGATCGATTTAAATAT